ATGGAGAAGATCAGTTGGACCGATTATGTGAGAAATGAAGAAGTGTTAATTAGAGTCAGTGAGCAGAGGAATATCCTACATGAAATAAGAAAACGGAAGGCTAATTGGATTGGTCATGTTTTACGCAGAAACTGCCTTCTAAAAGAAGCTATCGAAGGAAAGATAGATGGGCGGATAGAAGTGACAAGAAGACGAGGAAGAAGACGTAAGAAGATGCTGGATGACCTTGGGGACAGAAGAGGATACTGTCATGTGAAGGAGAAAGCTCTAGATCGCATTAAGTGGAGGAATTGTTTTGAAAGAGACTGTGGACCTGTCGTCTTGACAGATTACTGATGATGATGTACATAAATTATAATACAATGTTAGTCTGTTGGCAGATCTAACTATTAATATTATTATTTTGTTCCTTTACTTTCCTAATAATGGTTTACTGCAAATCTTTAGGCTTGAGCTCTCTTCTAAAAGAAAACCATTTTCAGTACATCAGATATGAAGTTTTACAGATGTGAAGAATTACATAATGACCTTCTGGTTTATGTCAAGATATAGTCTTGAAGGCGGTTATGAACATAACGGAGGGGCATTCTCCTCATTGGTCTACCATGAAGATGGGATCAGAAAGTTCATTCAAAACACTGGTAAGCAATTGTCAGACAATATGTTGTCATAATCCACAAAACGACTATGTAACATATAAACTAAATGAACGAGTGGCTCTTCTTGTAATAACTTTCTGTTGAGTTCAGTTCATATGGGTTACAAGGGCCAGTTCTTCCAGGAATTGAGAACACTTGAGCATAATATCAGCACAAAAGTTTTGTCTCTGTAAATAAGATTAAAGAAGACCTTACCGTAACTCCCTCGAAACTGGTATTGGCAAGTGCATTCAGGAACAAGTACTCCCACAGGGGGTCGCGGTATTGGAAGTCTACAACCGTTTCGTTCTTCCTGTGCTGACGTATGTGATGAGCCACATGTTGAATAGCCAGCGCTACAGCCCATATCCCGTCGTACGTGTACCCATGGAATCTGGAATATTCCGAGCCCCTTCGAGAATCGTATTCCAGCCGGTACTCATCTGCAGTCTGCAAGAAACACATCAGACTCATCAGCAGTCTTTACACACTGAAATGGAAGTGAAACATATTCGCGGTATGAAAACGCAATTGGTAAGAAGCAACAGAGGTAGCAGTCAATCAGAAGACTGGAAGCCCTAAAGAAAATACCGTGTTACCTGCATAAATAAGTTATTTCGGGAAATCCCTGAAGGTCTGTCCGACACATCAGCTATCTAAAAGACAGACACACTCACACTACTCAGTGTTCTGTGGCACAGGACCTACGGAAAAGGAAAAATGACTCAATTTCACAGTACATATTATGCTGATCGCGCAGAACATGTAATCAAAGCTCCTATCCGTTAACTGGGGTCGCGATGCGCGCGCAACTTGTATCAGTGATTCTGTCTGAGTCTACGATTACACTTCAAGTACCGAAACCGTCATAAGTGTTTTATTTCCTGAATTGCTTGTGTTTGAAATTCTGACATTCTTTTTGGTAGACTCTGAATTGCCCGAGTATAAAGTTTCACTTCACCTCTCTGGAATACAAAAACCGTCCGTTGTTTTAGTCTGCAAGCGAACTATACTGAGCGAGTGACCGCCGCTTGTCGGCGAAGTTAGTGTCAACTTTAGTGGAGAGAGGGTGTCGCGTATTCAGCGCAACGAATCCTTATGGCCGTTAATTTCGGTTTTCTAGACCGGTGCCGCTATTTCCTTGAAAGAACTCCACAATTATCCCCACGAGGGTGACTGAACCCCGTTCCAGACCCACTACTTCTCAGAAAATCTGGTAGAGCCGGGAATCGAACCCGTACTTCTGGATTTGTAGGCAGGAACTCTGAACACTAGACCACAGAGGTGGTCACTGGAATAAGCAGCATAAAATGAAGTTCCCCTAACGTTTCGACAAGCATTGAAGTGTTACTTTTTCTTAGAATCAGAAATCAGGATATCAGAATTCTCACTGTTACTTCTCCTACCCACAGTTCTGAGACCCCTTCTGTGGTGAAAACAGCTAATAATATCCAACCAAACGATCTCGTAAGTCATTTTGATCAATAATAGTCCACATACCGGTATATATAATTTTACGGAAGAGGAGGACAGACGTGTGATAAGTACAGATTTCTGCAGGCTGAAATGAGACATTAATGACCTTTCTATTAATGATCGTGCAGAGATCGTCTGCCTGCCGTCTGCATTATAAATTTGATAATTCATGTTTAAGACAGTTAAACAAAATTCTACAGTATTATCAGTGTTTCCGCGAAGAGCCTAAGAGAATATTGTTTTTTCATTGGCGTTACATCCCTCATTTGGGCCTAGGCCTACCTCCATGAAACTCTCCGTTTCACTTCGGTTTACTAGATTTTAGACATACGGTAGAACTCCTTGGGCGGGTGATCAGCTCGTCGCAAGGCCTCTACCTGTACACAAACACAGGAAAACGCACACAAACATCCATGCCCTGAGTGAGATTCGAACCCACGATCTGGGCAAGAGAATATTACCAACACTAAAATAAATATTTGTTCTTAATCTAAGCACTGTATATCCAGAAACATATATATTAAGTTCAAATGGTCATTTTCGGAATAGATATCCTGGCAAAAGTTCATAGGGACTCCATATTAATCCCCGTTTCGCGGCATGCCAACCCTATATAGAGTGATTTCAACTCTGGTGCAACAAATGTAATATATTTTTACATCGGGAGGTCAGCCAACATCGCCTTCATACTTTCTCTGGTGATAAGATCGATACTCAGGATGAACCAGCGATATTCAATTATTCATTAACGCCTTAGGTAGAAGCATAAAGAAACAAAGACCACGCTACACGTCCTTACAGAGCAGAAGTTAGGGCCAGCATTACTCAGACCAGATCAATGCGCTCAGGACTCCTTGACGTGAATGGAGCAGTAAGAATAAGGTTGAATGTACATCTTGAGAACCTTAAGGGGTCCTTCAGCAATTTCGAAGAACAGTAGAGCTCCTTTGTCCAAATATATGGAGGTTTCGTAAGCACTGAGGAACTTAAAAGTACAGCGTACTCAAAGATACGAGTGTAATTAAGACGGTAAGTATCGGCTGTGTAGGAAAGAAAAGAAACATAGAGGGTCCACCAAAGAGAGTGCTAGGATTTCACGGTACACACTGTACCGATGGTACCGAGGGTACCGATAACGCAGAACATGCAATCAAAGCTGCTGTCCATTAAGTATAGTCGGGATGCGCGCGCAACTTGTATCAATGAAACTGTTTCAATTTACCATTATAAGTACCAGCATAGTCATTCCTGGGTATCAGATGCCTAAAATTCCGGCATTCTCGTGTAAGCGATTTGTGAGCCCATACATTTGACCTACTACTAAGCACAAATGCTTCATTATCTGATTAATTTTCTAGAAGGTCTGTAGGTTTCAGCAGTTACATGTATTCAGCTACTTAAGAAATTTACTACTATTATGGAACACAAGAGGGGACACAGGAGAGGGGTGGGATTATCACAGTATCAAAGATGAAATCATTCGTCCCAGATATCAGTGTGTCATTACGTCTTCAGTTGAAACAACACCGTTACATACAAAAGAATCTGAAAGCCTCGAGTTGTAACTTACCCATCCGTCATCAGGGCGCTGTTGAGAATGAAATGAAATAACTTATATCTAAAGCCACGTGACACGGGCGATATGGTTATTGGGGCAACACAATAGAGCGAAGAGGGGATTCACTTTATCCATTTCCGGTCAATAAGAACTCCGTCCCATTCAACTGTTTTCTCCTCTGTCAGGCTGACGCTGCATTCGATATAGTACTGGCAGTAATTCCCAGATGACGCTACGGTCAGCAGCTCTCTCACGGCTCAGTCTCAACAACAAAAATAAAACGAGGGTGCTCTTCTGTTTCAAATTGTCAAAGAAGACAGAGAGAGGGATATGTGTCATGGCGTGTGGCCTCTCTGTCGGCATGTTCGGTTACAGTGACCTATTCTAAACACCCAGNTATATATATATATATATATATATTTTTATGTTTCCCTTGTCATCAAAATCACGCTTCTTCATTGATTCGACGATGATTTTGCGGATCATTTGTGATTTGTATATAGCAGACATTTAATCTGATATCTAGAAAGGGAATATACTTTTAAAACTTAGTCATTAATGGTTTTCCGGTTTTCCACAAGCACGGTAGCGTAGTTGGTTGGAGCACTATGATATAACTTTTTTCAGTTGACCTAATCCTTCCAGCCGGACTATGGCCCCGTGGTCGACTCAGTCTCTAACAGAAATGAGTGCCAGGAATTTTCTTTAGGCCGGCGCGTAACGCTGACAACCTCACCGCCAACTTTGAGCCGATTGTCTAATGTGGGACCCTCAACGTCTCACAAGGCCTGGTACAGGGATATCTTTACTTTACTTACTTTACTGAAGTCAACTGGGTGAGACCGTTTTGCCCACAATACTGTAGTTGGTCGTCTACTCGTCTACTGTACAATTTTTTTTTTCGGAGGAACTTATTTATTAACAATCAGAATTACGTACATTCTATAGGTTAATGGTTTCGCTAAGGACTATTACATGTCATGCGAGGAAAATGTCCATCGACATTACCTCTTCAGAAGTTGATTTGTTTTATATCAGGTCATTTGGCCATTTCCTTTTTAATCTTCTATTGTTGATTGGCTCCCTGAGTGGTTGCAATAGGTCGTTCTCGTGGGTCTCAATTTTGCTCATATGTTGGCGGCTTCTGTCCAGGATGATTTCTTTCACGAATTTTAATTTCAAGTCTTGATGTAGGGTTTCATTTGACACATACCAAGGTGCGTCGACTAACATCCTTAGGATTTTTGATTGCGATCTTTGGATAATGTTGCTGTTGGACTTACTGGCACATCCCCAGAGTTCGATACCGTAAGTCCAAATTGGTATAATTACTGTTTTGTATATAAGGATTTTGTTTTCGAGGGATAGTTTTGATCTTCTGCCTAGAAGCCAGGACATCTGCTTGGTCAGTAAATCTATTTGTTTACGTTTTTTTGTTACGTGGCATTTCCATGTCATTTTGCAGTCTAGATGCATTCCGAGGTATTTAACTTCTTCTTTGCTAGGAATAACGGTGTTAGTTATATGGACGACTGTTGGTTTCTTTTTCCTTAACGCACAAATTTAAAACCGAGTATTCAACACTGACCTGCTGTATTTCATTTCATGCTTCACGGCCTTTCCAGTACTTCCTTATCCTTAAGCAGAATGCTAGGAGCGGACCATGAATAGCGGCCATAATGACCGACTGTCAGAGCCTTCCCCTTTCCACCGCAACCTGCCCTTTCCCAGTCGTTATCTTACCAACGTGAAATAACTTATAAAATGCGTTCAGTATCGTAAGTAGAGATATCCGTGAACGGTGTCTTGTAAATTCTGCGGATTCTCCCGCCGCCCTATCCACTCTTCTTTCATCAAACCCTTTTATATAAACTTTAAACCTGCCTAGTATATTTTTAATTTTTTTTGTTCGAATTTTTTGCACATTTTATCTCTAGGATATGAAGAAAATCTTGACTAATTAGCGCAGTTCAATAGCCCACAAAGCGAATGTACTATGAGCCTCAGTTCCCAGTACCAGAATGAGAAACCTGGGGTTTCTTAGTCGAGAAACAGCACAAATAATATTGAAATACGGATAATCAAACACAGATACATCTACATACCCAAGAAACGTTCATAAACATATGAATATTTATGTACATATTTTACTTCGCGCATGCGTGAAAATAATGTATTATTATGTACAGAATATAGTTAATAATCTCTGACTCGAATAATTACGCTTCTGTTATTCATTTCTTTCATTGATAGCTCAATTTAGTTTGCTCTGACTCGTGGCGAGGCCAACATACATCTGAGGGATGCGCTGGGTTAAACTCTGAGGGAACATGTAAAACCAATACTGGAATTTTCCGGTAGATTTTTTTTTCAGCAGCCCACCGTCTACTTTTATAACACTTCCATATATTGAACA